GATTTTGATATATCATCAGACAACGTGGAATTTTTGACTGCCATTATATGACTGACAGACTGCAACGGTTTGAGTTAAAAATCTCTGTTTGTGTTCTACTGAAGAAACAAAGTCACCTACATCTTGGATGCCCTGGGGGTAAGCAGATAAACATCAAATTTTCATTTTTGGGTGAACTATCCCTTTAATATCATAATTTCACATAGTATCTCATAACTGCCCTTTTATTCTATTATTATCACTTTATCTCTTAATTTTGACTTTTTAATCTCATAACTTTGACTTTTAATCTCATAATTTTGACATTTTTATGATTTTTTTTATTTTATTATGATGTACCAAAGCATGATATTTTTTGTATTTTGTGGTATAAATGGCAGCAATGTAGCCATATGTGGGTCTTCAAACTTGGGATATTTTAAAATATTATATAGCTTGCAAGCACTGTTCCTTTAAATTGAATGATCTGTCGGAGCCTTAACCTAGTCTTAAAATGTAGCTAGTGTGATGTGGTTATGCTAATCAACATTTTCTTTTTCTCTCTCTCTCTCTATCTCACTAGATCGGAACAGACAACACTACTACTGTGAAATTCAAACTGCAGGTCTTGGTTTATCCAGTGCTTCAGGCGCTAGACTTCAACACAGCTTCCTATCAGCAGAACCAGAACGTTCCCATCCTGTATCGCAGGTTAATGGCCCGTTTCTGGTTGGAGTATCTAGGCGCCGACCTCAAACTTGTGCACTCCCTCATGATAAACAACCACACAGCCCAAGACCAAAGCCTGATGTCCTTGATCCGTTCAAAGCTGGACTGGACCACTCTCCTCCCCAAACGAGTGATAAAACATTATAAGCCTGTGTTTCCAGTGACTGGCTCTCTCAGTATCTTAAAGGACATACCTGCATTACTGGATACCAGAGCTGCTCCGTTACTGGCGGAGGACGTGGTTTTGCGTATGGCACCACGTGCTTACATTATGACCGGTGAGCATGATGTTTTGAGGGATGATGGGATGATGTACGCCCGCAGGCTGGAGCTGGCAGGGGTCTCTGTCACTAATGAACATTATGAAGATGGTTTCCATGGCTGTGTGAGCTTTGGTTTCTGGCCCTGCTACTTCTCTGTGGGAATAAGGGCAGTGCAGAATTATATCGCTTGGCTTGCCAAACATTTGTAGTTATATTTCAAATGTGTCTATTAGGGATTTCCAATTCACACATTGGGATGCAATCTTTTGCAACACAACTGAGGATTTTTATTGTATATCGAGCAAACAAATTAAGTATTTGATGTTCTGCTGTTTTAAAAGAATTGTATTATGGCTTTCAAATAATGACGAACACATTAAAGTGTATTTTTTAACTAATTTACTAAGAACCAAATGAGGATTTAGAACCACAAAGGAATTTCTCTTGAACTGATACACTGTTCTGACACCATTAACATACACAAGTATATGGACACGTGTTATATTCAGCAGTTAAAGCGTTTGTAAGATTCTTGTCGATTCAAATTATTGCTAAAGTTGTGTTTGTCATTAATACCACCTACTGCATTAACAAAACAGAAGTCATCTCTCCATGCATTTCATAACATTTGTGTTAGACTTTCACTCCAAAGACCTGAAATCATTTGTATCATATTTCTACTGTGAATAAAGCTGGAACATGTATTGAAGCTGCAATAAAGGTTACAAATATACGCTGCCTAGTTGCATTAAACATATTTCAGTTATTCTAGAAAATAATAAATTTTTTGGTATTTCACATCATCTTGCATTTTTGAACGACACAAAACACAACATAGATTGACTCTAAGTTCCTTTCATAAGAACTAGGGATGTCAACGATTAATCGATGATCGATTAATTGTCGATAAGAGATGCAATCGATTAAAGGTATCGATGGTCGATTAAGTCGTTTAATTTTGGGCTGCGTGCGGCTCATGCGCAAAACACGTGCGAGCGGCTGTGAGTGACGGTGACGGTATATAAATGCATCATCATTCATTCATAATGTACAAATTAAGCTTTTAATGTGATTTAAACTTAATTTTAATAACTTTAATAAAAGTACATTAAAATAGAAACAACACAAAGTTCTTCAACATGGAATGCAATAGAAATGTAGTAACAGTCATTTCCCCAGATAATTCTTTCATATCGGGCTCTGCGCTTTGCAGGGCTGTGGGACACAGGACAGATAGGCTATTCATTCCTACAACTTGTTAATTCGTTCCTACGACTTATTAATTTGTGGCCACTGTCCATGTTTCATTAATTTTGTCCTTTAAATAACCCATGATTTAACTAAAATAAGGGAAGCTCTGTGCTTTGCAGGGTTGCGGGACACAGGACAGATAGGCTATTCATTCCTACAACTTGTTAATTCGTTCCTACGACTTATTAATTTGTGGCCACTGTCCATGTTTCATTAATTTTGTTCCTTAAATAACCCATGATTTAAGTCAAATGAGGGAACAAATTAATAAATCGAACGAATTCTTAATTCACGGCCATGAAATCTTTCATTTCTCTTAGATGCGAAAACTGTGATCAAAAGTGAATGACAATAAAATAAACCTGCGAAATTAGAGGGTTAGACGGTGAGGATTTAGGAAAAGAAACAATGCCTAAATATTACTGAATTTGTGTAAATTCTTGACCAACCGGCAAACCAGAACAAAGCCGCATAAATGTTTTGAAATGTTGTTGTATGCATTTGTCATTTTTATTTAATTTCTTTTATTTTCTTAAATGTGAGTCTGTTCATTATCAAAATAACATACAGTCAACCAAACATATAAAACGTTACACTGGTCCGTTTAAATAGACCGTAGTATACCGGTCCACTCTGCTACCAAGGACGTTTTTGCTCATGAGGATGATCTTTTCAGTCTATATGCGAATGCGTGTAAAGTACAAGCCTAGTTTACATTATAAATAATAGTTTAACATTCAAATACATTGCGAATATGGAAACATTTGGATTTGTGCCGAATGAGACGTGAGTAATAACCTCCAAATACATCTAGTCAAACCCGCGCTCGCTCCTAATTTGTCCCAGGTGTTTCCCTTGATGTTTCATTGCTCCCAGGTGTGTCTCGTCATCCCCTCCTCCTGTGTGAATAAATAGGGTTCCCTGTGTGTGCTCCAGCGTCCGGTATTGTTCATGTCGTCAGGTATAGCGTGAGTGTTCCATGTTCCTTTGTGTCAATTAAACCCATTTGGATTAATGTACTCCTCGTCTCTCTCCGTTCCTTGCTCCTCAGTCCGCTCAGCAGTGCACCCGTGACACATACACTGGTGACATTTTTCACAATCACGACAAACAATCAAATACTGCCCTAAACTCAATAGCGGAAAGGCAGCGCTATCCTGCAAATATGGCGGATAAACAAAGCAGTTTCCCAGAACTCAACGCGGCGTTATGTCACATTCTCATTCTTTATACGTTTTCCCAGAGCATTCAATGACGTCACTAAACGGTGATGCCACATCGTTCACAAGTTTCTGCAGGACCTAACTAGCCTAGGGCACAGGTTTTCAAGCCCTGGGACAAAATGGGATGCTTTAAGAAAAATGTATAGCCTATGAAAGCAATAGGCCTAAATAAAAATAACAATTTGTTTTCATAAAAAAAAAAAGCGAAATATATCTGACTTAAATAATTAAGCTAACAGATTTAAAACAGAAGTGTGACGCGGCGCTCCATAAACAAGCTCACGGAAAGGAAAGGATGACAAGACGCATTCTGTTTGTTTGCTTTATTTTGCAAAAGCACAAATCTTGTTTTTATTGTGAGTGTGCAAAAATAAAAGTAAACACCTTTGCGGATTATATCCTACTCCAAAAATTGTGTTGAAATGATCGAAAATTGACATCCCTAATAAGAACATTAGTGTGAGTTTTGACAAAAGTTGGAAGCAAATATGTTGTTGTTCTATACCTTTTGGATAATTAGGAATGCAAATATTGTGGTGCAAGGACAATTTCATAATTTAAATTTGAACGATCAACCTTTCAGTATTTCTAAGATTAACAGCTGTTAATAGCTGTAGGCTGAGTTCTATTTAAATTATGAAATTGTCCTTGTACCCAATATTTGCTCTTTGATATTTGAATGAGAAGTACAGCTATTACCGTAATATAGTGTAACAATGTTGCCCTCTAGCCGCTAAACCGGAGTATGCCAAGCTCTACAATGAAAGCTACTATTTGTGCTGCACAAGACAAAACACACATATAACACGACAACACAGTTTTGAAAAACAAGAAATAAAAAACTATAATTTATTTTTGTTGCTTTCTGCAGTTTTCATTATTTCAATGTGGCAGTGAATAAACCAGCAATAAGAGGTTCTCCAGTAATTCAAAAATCAAGAAACTAAAATCTGAGTTCAAGTAATGACCATTGAAAAGCAAAGGGAGGAATAAAACAACAATACCAAACTATACGATTTGAAAATACAACACAATATCCCACTAAGATCCAAGACTTAACTAGAAGATTTTTCAATATTTGGTCAAAGCCCTACTGATAGTTTTCAAGCATATTTAAGGATATGGATGAAGCACTGTCTACCCTGCTTTATTACATAAGACATGAAATGGCGCAGTGTAACAGTAAACACATATTTCTAGTTTTGGTCCCTAGAACAGGAATCACAACACAACTGCGAGACAAACACAACTAATCAGGATCAGAGTAAAGAGGCAGGAATGGGTGCTAAAAGGTGCTCAGGCAACCGTTCAAAGAACATAACATCTTGAAATACTCGTTTAAAGTTTGCATCAAAACAAATATGATGACTGTGTGGGGAAAAGGGTTTAAAAGATGGCTATCTATCATTTTGCTTTTCATATTGCTTTAAAAATATCACTGCCATGAATACATTCTCAGGCAACACACTGAACACTCTTACATTCACTAGTTTCAGAAATCTTTGTAGATACTGTCCTGATGAAACAGTCAGCTCAGGCTGAACTAACAATGAACAATAGTGAGGATATGATGCTGATGAACTCTCGAAGTTGGAGAAACATAACTGTTGTCACAAATTTGTGCTTCATCATCCTTACAAAACCACAGACAAACATGGAATTTAAATGTCTTTCTTTCAAACCTGGAACATGACGAATAAAAAAAGCGATATGGCGCTACCCTCCATTCAGAAAAATAAGGAACCATCTATTAAACAAAAAAATTAAATAACTCGATATCCTGACGGGACACCCCAGTCCCATAACCAAGAGTCGGGGGTGACACAGGAAGTGATCACTATAGCAACCAGAACAGGTGTCTAAACCCATTAACACTATTGGGACTAAGTGCTACATTTTCCACCATTAGTTAATTGTGATTTTATCTGACGTTAAACAGGCATTACAGATAGCTGTATATAATTTTACTTTCAATGTTTAG